CCCAAAAACCCCAAAACCCCAAAACCCCAAAACCCCGAAAAATATGAATAGCATTGAAAAGAGTGATTCAGGACAAGTAGGAAATGGGGGCTAGGTTTTACAAACATAGTTATCCTGAGATTCGTGATGCCTCTTTATCCGATATTTGAGGATGTTTACTGTTTGAATTACTGCTAGTCATGTAGATAAAGAAGATAACAAACAGAATTTGAATAGACCCCATGATGATTCAGGCATAATCGAATCCTACCATCATATAAATATTTGGGCTGATCAAGGGGCCAATAAAGGTGCCTATCAAATTCATCGATCCTTTTACACCTCCAAAGTATCCTCCTGCTTCTTTACGAGATATCCCTTCTTTCTCTCCAGCATTCATCAATTCAGCCTTGGTGTACATTGTAGCGAAAGTGTTCCCACCAATCACAGAATACCCGTTTAGGAAAAGACCACAAATAATAAGGATAATATAATTTGTACCAATGAAAACTCCATGAGCGATAATACAAAAACCTAAGAACCCTGCGAAATATCCTAAGATGATAAGAGTCTTTTTATTAGCTATCATTTCAAGAACTCCTCCCAAGAAGCCAAAGATTGAATAACTTAACAACAAAAAGATATAAATATACCCAGTTGTGTCAGCATAAATGCCCATATCAAGCATTTTAAGTGCAAAAATAGGATCCAAATATCACAAAACAACGTTTGAAAGAAGAATCGACATGCATCCAATCTTCACAGTCTATACAGTCAAAATATTTTAGCTTACAGGAATACGAAACAAGAACTTCAAATCTAGCTGGCATTCAGAAGGTGTAAAAGATTCTTCGTCAATCGTCTCGATCAATGCTTCATGCAATTCAGTAGGCTTTTCTTCAACAATATTTAAAGTTCCTGAAATGTACATTATGAACGCTAATAATACAAAGCTTCCACACAGCACAAAATATGGAAGGAAGTAGCCACCAATAGAGAACAAGTATGGCCCAGCCAATAGTGAGAGGCACCCTCCAACTCCAGCGCTTGCAGAGCAAGTTCTTGCATATCGATCGAACTCTGATGGTGCTAGTTCTTGTGAAGCAACTCCATACACCATACACTGTATCAAACCAAAGGACCATCCTTCAAGTCATCTGTTGAGGATAATAACCACTGTGAATATATTTTTGTCATCAATAAAGGATAGATAAGCATATATAAGATGAGAAAGACCCTAAATTATTATCAATGAGCCAACTTACCAGTCCTAGAAGACCTGAATAGACAAAGAATTTTGCTCCTTTGATTGCCAGATATTTCCCTCCAAAGACAGAAGCAAATAAGCCTGCGAGTGAGAAGATTCTATAGGTATTATTAAACTGTTTAATGTTAAATGACTACTTCCAAAGCAATATATTTAAAGTTGAGTGTTAATATTTTTCAGGAAATTAAATACAAACCAAAAGCAGGCTTAAGCTTTGTTCGATTTACCAAAAGATTATTGAGTTAAGTGCAGTCGGCACTCCTTTCTCTTGCATCTGGTACGGCATGATAGGAGCAATAATCGTAAGAGTTGCACTTGCTAAGAGATAGCATGATAAGAATAGAACATATCTCAACTCAAAAGCCATTCGGTCCTTCATCTTTATTTTAGGATTCTAATAATAAGGTTTAGGTTTTAAACTATAAGAGGGGTTTTGGGGTTTTGGGGTTTTGGGGTTCTGGGG